TTAAGGACACTTCCTTTGATTTGGTTGTTTTTTTTTCTTTGTTGAAATAGACTTTTTTTGTGTACTTCTTATACCATCTTTTTCCTGAGCTTTTTCCTTGCTAAGAAAATGAACTCTATTTTTTTTTAAGGAAAATCATTGTATACAGATTCCATTTAAAGGCAACGGATAAATATCTGTTGAATTGGATTTTAATTTCATTATTACTTTCCACTCTACACACTGTTTAAACTTTCTGTGTCTCACTTAAAACTGTGAAACACAGCACTGAAGAGAAACTAAGGCACTGACAATTGAGGAGTAAAGTAAAGTGATCCTCCTCATAAAATCTTTGCCATGGACACAGGGCATCAAAAAGGAAATCAAGGATGATTAGAGAATTTAGGGGCAGGAAGAACTTTGGAACTCCTGGGGTATAATGCAAGACTCTTAGGCAGCCAACTAGATGGATTCCCATGGGTGCAGCATGGACGGAGCTTGGATTAGTTCAGCACAATTACTGAGGGCCCTAATAATCATGTCAGTAATTCAAAATTTCTGAAGTACCTACTATGTGCAAAGCATTATTCCATCTTTGGCAGGTCTTCTGTCACTGAAGCTGGACCAAAGTTAAAAGTAGCAACCAGGTCTTCCCCATATCAATATAAATTTGGGTGCTGATTGCTGGCCTTTAAAACTGTACCGAGGGCAAGTTTGCTTGACAAAGAACCTGATGGGGGTGGGTGGGTTGAGGTGTATCAGCAGGTACAGGCTTGCAGAACATGCAGCAGTAATTGCCAGGTGGTATTTCCACATGCATTGCTTCCTGGGATGATGGCGTAGGGATTCTAAGGCTATATGACTATAAGTTACAGAGTAGGGAATGACCTGCATTGGTTGAAAGAACTCTTTCATCCTGGTGTTCTCTATGTCAATGAAATCCCAGTCTCAGTCCACCCCATTCAACCTCTATCCTATGTTCACAGCACTGTGCCAAGGCCTAGGAGAGAAATAAAGATACTACAAAAATAAACCAAATAGGATTGGGAAGTTGATAATCTAGCAGGGAAAGATAACACATACACAAATAATTATACTAATTATTATTATAATTACACTAATATAAAACTAATAATAATATGTACGTAAAAGAAGGAAAACTAATAGTAAAAAAATGTAATGACTAGAGAGTACTATGTGAGATCCAGCACCTCGCTATCCAAATATAACATCTGGCCAAAGGAAGCAGTTTAGGACAGATGCAAGAGAATAGAAGGAGATGAAACTGTGTAGGTCTTTAGAAGTCTGTTTGGAAAAGGGTAAACAAATGAATTTGTGGTTCAATTCCTTTTTATTTTCTAGGGATTTTTCATCTTATGTTTTGGAGTGCTTTTTGATAGTAAGGTATGTACATCCTTTTTTCCCCCACCCTGTCACTCTTCTCCATTGTCATCCAAAGTCACCTGCCAACCTGGATCTCAAGTTCCTCATCTGGGAAATGATAGAATTGGACTAGATGACTCTAAGGTCCCTCCCAGCTCCAATAGCTCTAACATGAGGCAATAGATGCCTCAGCTGAGACACAAAAGAACCCAACGGTGACACTGGTAACTATCATTTTTGTTGACGTCAGTCGTTTTCAGTCATGTCCAACTCTTAGTGACCTTATATGGGGCTTTCTTGGCAGAAATACTGGAGTGGTTTGCCATTTTTTCCTCCAGTTCATTTTACAGATGAAGAAATTGGGACAAACAAGATTAAATGACTTGCCCACGGGCACGAAGCTAGTAAGTGTCTGAGGCCAGATTTAAACTCAGGAAGATGAATATTCCTGACTCAGGTCCGGCACTCTATCTACTGTGCCACCTAACCATACAATATCATGCAGGACCATTTATAATGCAATTTTTGAAAATGTCCAAATCAAGAAAACGTTATACAAAATAACTACAACGATGTAAATTGAGTAGAAGGCAAAAAAATCAAAGCTAATTAGAATGATTGGGTTTGGCCTCCTCAGAAGAGATATGAATCATGGCACAAAGATTTACAGTAGAAAGGGCCTTATCAGTCTAATCCCCTGCTATTACAGATGAGGAAACCGAATCTTAGAAATAGTAAGTGACTTGCTCAGGGTCATACAGTAAATAAATAACTAAAGTAGGATTTGAAATCAGGTCTTTCTGATTCCCAGTTCATTACTCTATCCCTTACTGAGACTATACCTCCTTTCCTTCTTTCCACAGGTGGAGAGCTATGGGTGCACAACTGCATAAAATGTGATACTTGGTTAATGTATTAGATTGCTTAGTTTCCTGATTGGCTTCCTCTCCTCCCCCTCACTTTTGCATGCTTTATATTAAGGAATGGTTCTCAGGAAGGGGAAAGGGGAGAGATATTTTGGGAAGTGGATAATGATGTAAAAACAAGTGATATTTATAAACGTTTGCAAAAGATAAGAAAATGACTGCCCATAGAGATCAATCTACCTAAATTTACGCAGAGAAATTCTCCCCAGCTTCTTAATCCCAGATCTGAATTTACTCTCTGTGTGACCTAGGGCAAGTCACAACTTATCTGGGCCTCAGTTTCCTCATCTGTAAAATAAGGAAGCTGGACCAGGTGGCATCCAAGATTCTTTCTTTCTCTAGATTTATAAGTTCCTGCTCAAGACTGTAAAAGTGGAGCAGCACCTAACAGTTACTAAAAACATGTGTGTGTGAGTATTTTATCTTAAATATTCTCTGTTGCCCTCCTAGGTTCGCCAACTTCTATTTAAGAAGCTGATTTCAATAAGCTCATCATCAATGCAGCCAATGAAGGTAACTTCTGATAATGATGTATACAATTGCAGGAAGGGGCTTCATGGACCCTTCTCATACAGTCATAAGAATTTCTTCTGAGGAAACTTAGTTCCAGTATGGAGTCATGAAAAGCCATAAGTTTAGTAATTGTAACAACACACATGTATGTCTTGAATGAGATAACATATTTAAAGAGCTTTACAAACCTTAAAGCACTATACAAATATTACTCACTGTTATTATTATATTAATTAATATAATACTATTTTTATATTTATTCATTAAATTTAATTATGACAATGTAATTAAATATTTTTGTTCAGTTGTGTCCAACTCTTGTGACCTCATTTGGGGTTCTCTTGACAAAGATACTGAAGTAGTTTGCCATTTCCTTTTTTAGCTCATTTTACAGATGAGGAAACTGAGGCAAACAGGGTGAAGTGACTTGTGAGCTAGTAAAAATATCAGAGGCCAGATTTGGACTCAGGAAGATGAATCTTCCTGACTCCAGACCCAGCACTCTATCCACTGTGCCACCTAGCTACCCTATTATTAAATATTAGTTGTATTTAATTATATTACAATAATATAATTAAACACTAATTATTGTTATATATAGAATAATAGACTCCTTCATAATCAGATGAGGAAACTGAGGCCCAGAGAGATTAAGAAACTTGTTGAAGGTCACTAAGATAGTAAACAGCAGACGCAGAATTTGAATTCATGCCTTTTGAGTCTAACTCCAGTGTTCTTTCATCAATATGCCCATTCACCTGAAATCCAATTCAAAAGCATTTCTCATAGAATTGAAGGATTTGTATTGAGAAGGGAACTTAGTATACTCCCTTATTTTTACAGGAAACTGAAGCCTAAAGTAGTTAAATGACTTGAATAGGGTCACTTGGGTAGTAAATAAGTGCCAGAATTAGAATTTGAACCCAAGTTTCATGACTCCATGTTCTCTCCTTTGAACCATTCTACTCCTTAAGATTTAGAAAGGATTTAGAAACTTCTACCACATTGCTATACAGCTCCCCTCATCACAGTTATCATCTCTCATGCTGAAAGATTATGCCCCTATACTTCCATAGCTGGATTCAGAAACTCTTTCCTCTAGATGCAAGCCTGAGTCACATGGTTCTATCCTCTCCTGAGATGATGTGCTTGAGAAGCCTCTCATTGCCACCTCTTGGGTACATGGGTAAGAACATAAGCAACTACAGAATGCCTTTGTTCCAAGGCAGGGGTTGTGGAGAGGGGCTCTCTTCCCAATCTTTCTATGTCTAGCTCGCTCAGTATCCCCTCAGGTCATCCCTGGTTGAGTTGCTTTCTTCTTTTGAGAGGTCCAGTAAAAGGGATGTCCAATTCACAGCAGTCTGACCTAGTTAAGCCATACCCCAGAGTCTGGGGTTCACTCATTCATCCTTAAGGGGTGCAAATAGGCCAAGTATGTAAAACAAGGAGATGTCATTAATTCTCTTAATGAAGTGTTTATGAGTATGTCCACACCCTTCCATTGGGTGTGCCCTTATCAAAGCCACAAACAATGGTTCACCACCCTTCAGCTTTAGCCAGTTATTTGGGCTCCCTTGATTGAGAGCTATCACACTTTAAAGTCTATATATTTTATTTTTTGGTCAGGACCTGTGACTTCATTGGTAGAAGGAAATCCTCTCTATTAATGTAGATCAGAAGCCATTCTGTAACTTTTAGTCTTAGAGCAGGGCTTCTGGACTTAGACCCACAGAACCTCAAAGGGTCTGTGGATAGATTTTAGGGGATCCATGAACCTGGGAAAAATTACATCTTTATTTTCACTAGCCTCTAGTTGAAACTTGCCATTTTCCTTCAATTCGGAAGGCAGGCAATAAACATTACTCTAAGGAGTCCATAAGTTTCATCAGACTACCAAAAGGGTCAGGGCACAAAAAGGGTTCAGAGAAAGGCCACGGAGTCAGTTTCAGTGACTTGAATCATATTGAAAAGCCAATATGTGTCAGTCTTGTAACACTCAGCAAATCACTTCTCTGACTCAATTTCCTCATCTGTAAAATAGGGATAATAATAATGCTTATTACTCCTCATTGTTACTGTGAAGTTCAAATGAGATAATATATGTAAAATGCTTTGTAAACCTTAAAGGATTATACACATATGTGATGAGGAACATTTTTGTATCTTTAACATTTTAAAAATATTTGGATTTTCTTTTCTTTTCTGAATGTTCAAACAATATACCATTTGAATAAAATCAATGTCACTCATGTTAACAACTGACTTAATACCTACTGTCCAGGATTGGTTGTAGACTCTTTTTGTTCTTACTTTGCATCTTCCTCTCCGTATTCCCCATAGTCCATTCTTCTTCCCCAGAAAAGTAAGCAGACGGTCTTGACAATTCACTTCTCAAAAGAAAAAGCTGCCTAGGTTTTCTTACTGGAGCTGGTCCCGCTTCATTTCGACAAATTTTTTTCTTATTACTAAAAACTGAAAAATTCTTTATAGAAACACAAAGTTCCAATTTTACTCTTTGCCAGAAGAGTGTCAGCTGAACGCAATAGTTAGAAACAAATATATATTTTTGGAGTTTGGGTTTTTTTACTCTGGCTTTGAAATTTGTCCTTGGGGTACTTAATTAGGACCTATCTCTCCTGTCCTTGAGCCTGATTGCTAAAGTGAGAAATTTCCAGTGTTTCACATAAATCAATGAACTCAATTGCATGGAAGCCTACATAAGTCTTTATAGTTTTGTCGTTGCTTTTAGAAAAAAAGTTTTTAAAAATTCTCCTTTCACAGGCGCTAAATGACAATAAAAAATAATTGCCTCTGACATTAGATATCATTCTCAAATCCCTTATTCTATAGCAGGAAGGAACATGGGATTAGGAAGAGCATAGGATTAGGAGACAGGGACATTAGGGCCATAGGTTTAGAGCTAGAAGCTACTTTGGGGGCCAACTGGTCTGAACTTTTCATTTTACAGATGAAGTAACTAGGGTACAAGCAAGGTAAGAGACCTAGCTAAGGTCATATATGTAACAAGTGGCACAGCAAAGATTTGAACCCAGGTCCTCTGAATCACAATCCACTATATGATGGAAAGCCATTGCACCACTCTGTCTCCAATCCTATGTGACCTTGGGTAAGTCCCTTAATCTATCTGAACCCCAATTACCTTATCTTTTAAGTGAGGTGGGTAGAATAGATGATCTCCAAGATCCTTTTTTAGCTCTAATAAGTTCTTCAGTAGGGTAAGCTATTATTATTGTGATGATACTATGATGACTCTAAAGTTCTAACACTATTTATATTCATATCTATGAAATTGCAAACATTAAAATCCTTTATTCATGAATTAATTTTCTAAAAATGAAATTCTGCATTTTCTCCTTTCTTGCTCCCCTTCCCATTAAGAAAACAAGAAAAACAAAACCCTCATTACAAAAAATGTGCAGTCAAGTAAAACAAATTCTTGTACTGGCCATGTCAAAATACATGCATACATAATATATACATATGCATATGTAGATATAAGTATCTATCCATCTATCTATCTATCTATCTATCTATCTATCTATCTATCTATGTCTCGATCTGAACTCTGAGCCTATTACTTCTCTATCAAGAGGTAGGTTTTTAGTGAGTTTGGAGGGGAAGTGAGAAGGTATAAAAAATAAATGCTTGATAACTGAAAAAAGAAAGAAAAAAGGGAAAAAATCCAATTTGGGTATATAGAAGATACTCAAAGCATTTATATTTCCAGCTTTCAGATAAGAATACACACACACACACACACACACACACACACACACACACACACAAACACCCCCCCCCCAAACAACATGTTGTACCAGTGCTTACCCATACTCCTAATGTAGGGAGATGAGATTTTTCAAAGCAGAGGACCGTTTGTAAATCAATTTGTGGTTTGTCTTGTAAAAAGGAAATGTGGTGTTGTAGAAAGACTATTGATTTTAGAATCAAAGGACCTCTGTTTGAATGATATGTGTGGATAACTACAATGGATCTTAGAGAAGATTAAAGGAGTTTCATTGTTATATCTCTAGCATAAGAGGGATGTGCAATCCTAATTAGTAAATAGTCTACTGATTGTCTTATTAAGAATAAATACTTAAAATGTATATAGTGTTTGATAATTGGAGAAAAATTACAGCACATAAGATCAAGATGTTTTCATGGTTTCTCTTAATATGTTTTCATGACAGTGTCTTTAAAGAGGACTCTCTTATCAGATGATGACAGGTTCACAAAGAGTCAGTTGACTAGTTTCAGAATCCAAAATGATATCTCTAAAAAGTTAACTCTAGCAAATAAAAATAAAATGTCAAAAAGTACTGTCAAAAGTATAAAATGTCTGAAAGCTGTCTCAACACCATCCAGGTATTCTCAGGATGCAATAAAGCAAGGCTTTGGTGCATCATGAAGGAAGATATTTCTTAGGGTTTTCTAGAACTAAGTAATAGAGGAGACAACTTATAATGTTTTTACTTATCGATAGAATGATTTACTTATTGAAAGAATGACAGTAATTTTCCCCAAAAATTTGTTTGGTTTTTTTTAAGCCTCTTTCTAGTGAGTATAAAATCTCGAGGACACACTTAGGAAAGTATCTTTAGGCATTTGGTATCTTGAGAAGAAGAGATTAATGTGCAACAGAGATCGAGTAAAGAGATATTACTTGATACAAATATTTGGAATGTGTAGACTATCACTAACATAGTGTCATTAAAAAGTCCTCTCTCTCTTTCTCTTTCTCTTCCTTCTCCTACTCATCTTCCCTCAAAGAAAAAGGAGAAAAGAAAGAAGAGGAAGGCAAAGAAGAAGGAAGTTGGGGAGGAGGAGAAGAGGAAAAAGGAGAAGAAATAAGGAAAGAAGAGGAGAAAGAGAACTAGGAGAAGGAAGATGAGAGAAAGAAGGCAATATTATTTTTTAAAATGCTGTTTTCTTTTTCTTTTGCAGAGTACATCAGATTTAGCAGTGGGACCCAAATTCCTGAAGACATTTAACCCATTACACCAAAAAGGTGAGTTCAAATAACCCCAGGGTTTTTAAAGAGATGATGTGCTAGTGAAAGGATGGGTATCAATAGTGTTCTGTGAAGAAAATTTGAAATAAACCATCCCTGAATCTACAGAATCATAGGATTGGAGAGTTGCAAGGACTTCCATGACCATTTTGTCTGACCCATAGCCAAAAGGAATTTCCCTGTCCCCCATAACAAAACTGAGAAGTGACCATTCAACCTCTGCACAAAGAACTCCAAGGAGGGGGAAATTTACTTCTCGCTTCTCAAGGCAGTCCGTTTCACTTCAGGAAAGACAACTTTTAGGAAGTTTTTTTTTCTCCTAAATTTTCCCCTTTACAACTTCTACTCTCTACTCCTAAAATCAGTGCCTCTTAAAACAGCATAAGATCTGTTTAGTTCTCTCAGCTCTTGCATTATAGTACTGACTCCTATTGAGCATAAAGTCCTCTAAAACCCCAGAACACTTTTCCCCAGACAGTTAATAAACATTTATTAAGTATCTGCTATTTTCTAGGTATTTGGTTAATTTGGTAATTCTAAGAAAGGCAAAAGACTGTCTCTTCTCCAAGGAGCTTAGTCTAATAGGGGAGACAACATGCAAAAAATAGGTACAGGATATGAGAGAGAGAATATATACACAAATGCACAGGATACACACATACATGCACACACATGTAATTATATGTTCACACACATTCATATGTAAACAATATAACCACACCTTTGCATGTATGAATGCACACATGTGTGATTGTATTACACATATACACACATACATGTATATATGTGTACACATATGTATGTATGTATCTTGTTGCTCAGTCATTTTTCAGTTGTATCCAACTCTTTGTGACCCCATTTGGGGTTTTCTTGGCAAAGCAACTGGAGTGGTTTACCATTTCCTTCTCCAGCTTGTTTTACAGATGAGGAAACTGAGGCAGATAGGGTTAAGTGACTTGCCCAGGGTCACACAGCTAGGAAGTTTCTGAGGGTGGATTTGAACTCAGGAAGGTGAATCTTCCTGACTCTTATGTCCAATACTCTATCCACTGTGACATCTAGCTGCCTCATATGTATGTGTATATACAGACACATATATATTCATATACACACATATTATAGATAAGTGATAGAAATTGATATGGAAATAATATGTTAAAAAAAGTTTTTTGGGCTTCTATATTATGGTGACTGTTTTATATAAGTTGGATTTCCCTAAGAAATTCAGATAAAGATGGTGTTTTTACTTTTAAAAATAAGTTTATTGCTATATTATATTTTATTTTTAGAGTACCTATATTTTCCAATATATCCTTCCCTATGCTTCCTCCCAGAGTACTATCCCTTATAACAAAGAATAAAGAAATGGGAGGGGGTGTGGAAGACAGTTTTACAAAACAAACCAACACAATAAAAATGCTGATGTTATATGCAGTGTTCCACACCCTTAGTTGCCCATCTTTGCAAAATAAGCAGGGAGGTCTTTCTCATGATTCTTCTAGAAGAAGAAGAATATAATCATTGTAATTTTATAGCATTTGCTGTCTTTACATTTTAATGACCAAGCTAGAAGACTAACTTGAGGTGATGGATTGGCTCCTTGACCTACCTAGTTATCAAGGATTCTTTTGAAATTCAAAGTTAAGATGCTGATCACAGGAAGGAACTCCTTAGGGGAAGTGATTCAGGAAGAAATTGAGTGGTGACTACTCTGGAATGTGAATGGCAAACTGTATTTTAACATATTGTGATTCTATTCCTTGCTAGAGATTCCTGTAAATGCTACCTGAAATCTTCTACGGGAAAAGAGTCATGGCACAAGGCATGACAGACTATGACAATTTGGACATCTTTCTCACAAGACAGAAATGGCTTGGATATTTAGATCAATATGAAATTCAATAAAAATTATTTCTGGCAAATTTGAGTCTAAATCACAGAGCACATTATTATCAGTAGTAGTAGTAGTAGTAGTAGTTAGTAGTAGTAGTAGTAGTAGTAGTAGTAGTAGTAGTAAGTAGTATTTTCTTTGACAAACCATTCTCTTAACTAAAGCTCAGAGAGGGCAAGTACCTTACCTAGGGTCACGAAAAGCAGGAAGCATTATTAGAGGTAGGATTTGAATCCAGGCCCTCTGATTTCAGAAACAATACTTCTGTTGTAGCTTGCTGTTTCACTGCTTATATAACTTTGGCCAAGTTATCTGTCTTCCTTCTTCTTCAGTTTCCTTATCCACAAGAGAGTAATATGTATAGTACCTACCTCAAAAAGTATTTCTGAGGATAATACACAGTAATATATGTCAAGTGTTTTCCAAATCAAAGTGCTATATAAATATTTGTTAATTTCTGATACAAAGTCTGTGAATTTTGCTCTTTAGGATAAGAATGCAGCTATGCACTGGCCCAAGTCTCTTAAGTTAGTATTATAGGGAAAATCAGACTTATGAAAAGTATAAAATCCTATTTTGTCTAATCTACTTGACCTCGTTTCCTGATAAAGCCAGATAATATGTATAATATCTGTAGATAGATATAGATACATAGGTGATAGAAAGTTATAAATATAGACATAGATGCAGATTTAAACAATGAGCCATTATATTCCAAAGAGAAGTGCCAGCTATATCAGTGTCTATCATTACATCATTGAGTTGGTGCCTACTGGCCAAACATTTTATTCATACCTATTTTCTTTAATATTTACCCAAGTTCGCCTCCACAGCTGTGAAAAAGTACTGTTGGTTTACCCTGTGCATTTCATTCCGTTGGATGCTCATGTGGTTGAATAATTTACTTGTCCTCTCTTTCAGGCACATATACACTTTCTGGTGTAGGAGAGTCCATAAGTGACATTATGCTCACTCAGTTTTTATCATCTGAATGATCCTGAGGAATGCAAAATTAAATAAGAATCATTCTGCACAACCTAACATTTGCAGCTAAATGTCAAGAGTGAGATTACCCATGGCATGAGGTGACTTTTATGGGATCATCGTTAGTCATGTCAGATTGTGAGGTTGGGGCCAAGACAAAGAGACCACAGATGCTCTGCCAATGCCTCTTTTATCTTCAATCAGGTGGATAATTTTCCTCTCTGGCATGATGGCTGATTGAGAATCATAGCCTGAAAAAAAGGAGAAGCTTATATCACTTAGTGCTCTTATTCTTTGCCTTGGAAATGTCTTAAAAATGGAGATCCTGACTTCAAAATTAATCTCATATCCCTGGGATTGGCAGAAGTCATTCACGAAGAAAAACCTAGGAAAGACAGATGATTCTGTACTTACTTCCTCTTAGAAGGCAATTGAGCTAAATATCACACTCCTTCCAACACACACACATACACACACACCCCATAAATATATTATCTTCCCCAACTTTCCACTGAAATCCTGTGCTCTTTTTTTTTTCTTTTTGAGTTTGCTGACTTCAATTTAAAACCACATCAGGAATACAACATCTCCTGAACCTTGGTCCTTTCTTGTTTACCTTTTTACATCCCCTGTTCCATTGTTTGCCTCAGTGCTCACTGGATAGCTCAGATTTTGATCTTCAGGTGTTATTTCCAATTCATCTAAGTTGTCATTTGTTGAGTTTCTGATAGATAAATAGATCTGATAGATCAGATCTGATAGATCTGATAGACCAGAGATATCAAACATGGAGCCCAGTGGCCAAGAGCTTTCCCAGATTAAAATATAATTAGGAAAAGTTTACCAAGATTAAAAACATAATAAAACATAGATAATGTTAATTTGTTGTTTTCTAAGTCGATATGTGGCCTTCAGGGATGTGTATCTTAGTGGTACCCATTTCTATTTGAGTTTGATACCATTGTACTAGACAAATACATGTGGGGAATACATGTTGGCTGAAAATGATCTTCCAAGGTTAGAGTGCAGAGTAGTTTTAGCAAACTGCTGGAAAGAATCTGACACAGTACTGTTGTAGGTGGACAATGTAACAGCATAGAAAGTACTTAATTTCTCCAATTCCCATTGTCCTTGTCAACTGGCTCATGGATGGAATGCTGGTTAGTGGCTAAATATCATATTCTTTTTTTAAAAGAATTTTCTAAGATCTGACTAAAAAGTGTTAGCCCCTATCTGAGACAGTCTATGCTTGAGGACTCATGGGAACATATGGTCTCTTTTCTGACAGTGCCACATTTTCTGTAGAACAAGTGGTAACTTGGATAGAGCATGGATCCAAGTGGCACATTCTAGAGCAGGAGTTCTCAACCTTTTGGTTTGTGTGATGGTCCCCTTGGCAATCTGGGGAAGTCTATGGACCCTTTCTTGGAATAATGTTCTTAAATACATAAAATAAAAGATATAGAATTACAAAGGAAATCAATTATATTGAAAAACAGTTATCAAAAATCTTTTTAAAGTTCATAAAACTCAGATTAAAAACATCTGTACTACAGACATGGTTTGTCCACATCAGAATGGTAATATTTCCTTGAGATAGTAGTTCATTAAGAAAATCAAGTCTCAACTGATACCATAGCATGAAGGTAGTATCTACAGTTGTAGGACAACAGCCCCCTACACACACACACACACACACACACACACACACAGTGCCTTTTCATACATTGGCACCTACCACAGCCATAATTGTGGGTGGAGCTACATATCACATAATTATCCAGCCCTTAGCTCTGTTGAAGGACTATGGTTCTCAGTTCCCTAGAGGTCCACCTAAAAGGCTATGGGGCTGAGACTACAGGATCTCCGACTGAAGTTGTGGTGGTCCTATAATTCATTCCTGGAAGAAAAGTATCTAGGGACTGAGGATCATGGGATTATTAGATATGGATCTGAAAGGGAACGAGATCACACTGGGTCCAACCTCCTCATGAGGGGTTAAGTTGGGTAAGTGCTTAAGGTCATGCAAATAATAAGTAGAAACAGTGAAGTTTTGAGTTGCCACCTCCATGCTCTTGTTCAGCTGTCCTCTGTGGCCAAAATGTTTCCCCTTCCTTATTTCCACTTTTTAGAATATCTCATTTTTCAAATGATAGCTCATGTGTCACCGTTTAAAGGACTCTTTCCTGATCTTCCCAGTTGGTAGCACTCTTCCACGTCCCCATCCCCAAATTACTTAGCATTTATTTTGCATGTAGTTTGATTTTACTTTTCCATTTATATTTTTATCTCCTAGCTGAATGTAAGTTCCTTGAAGTAGGGGCTGTCTTTGTCATACAGTGTCATGGATACAGTAGATACTTAATAAATGTTTGTTGAAATCATTATATGAAAAAAATGAAAGTGAAGAATACCTAGACTTACATACATAGCTATAGTTGCACAATTCCCTTCTCTTTACTACTGCAAATCCGTGGAGTTGTGGTCAGTCTTACATCTCATGCCAATAGTAACCGCCTTTCTTTCTCTTTACATATCATGTACCACAGCTAAATACCACCCCCTCCCCCTGAAATAGCAGCACATTTACTTTTTGCACGTGTCATGAGTATTCCTTGCCTCTGTGGTTCCAGCCATTTCCCCAGCAGTCTTTGAGTTCTATTACTGGCTCAGTCAATGAATTAGCTGAATGACCTTAGGCAAGTTATTTAACTTTTGAGGCCCTCAATGAATAGAGTTACAGAGCTAGATGAGTCCTTAGAGATTATCTAGTCTAACTCCCTCATTTTATAGAGGAAGAAACTAAGGTCCAGAAGAATCAATTGCCTTGTCCAGTGTCACTAAGCAAGCTAGTAAGTGGTAGAGAGTCCAGTCTTTTGGTTTCCATGTCTTAAGATCATAGGTCTAGAGCTGAAAGAGACATTAGCATCCATCTAATCCCACCCCCTCATTTTTCAGATGAAGAAACTGAGTGACTTGTTCAAGGTCACACAGATAGAAGAAAATGGAAGGACTGGGCCTTGAACAAGGTCTCCAAGTTGAACCAAGATCCTCTGTCTCCAATTCAGCATCCTTTTCACTGCGCCATAATGCCTCTTCTATTTCCATTCTACTATGTGTAAAAGAAGGGATATATATGTAGTGATTGCTAAGGCCCTTCTAGCTCCTATATTATAAATTGCTCACACACCCATTCAGGTTATTGGGATTTGGTGAATAAAATCACATATCTTGTATTCATTCTCCCTATGATGTTCTTAACTTGGGTTCCATGAACTTTTTAAAAAAAAGTATTTCGATGATGTGTTTCAATATAATTGGTTTCCTTTGTAATTCTATGTACTTTATGCATTAAAAACATTTTAAGAAAGGGTGGGTTATAAAGCCCCAAGGAAGCTCCAAACCCCTGAATTACCCTGTAAGTCCAACAATAATGGTCCAAAGCCCCTTCTAGGGGTTGGGTAGGAACCAGTTCACAAGGAGTCTTGCTTTTCCCTACCAGCATGAATCAGCACCAGTCTTCAGGAGCAGTAGCCTTTCTCATTTCCCCTAATGCCTGGTTCTGGTAAATCCAGATAAAAACCCTATAAAATCTCCCAGACTTTACTGGTTTAGGGAGAGGATGCTCCATTCCTTCTTGTGACACACTGGGGCACCAAACTCTATCCAGAACCCCAGTGGACTGCCCTGTGTCCCTACATCCTTTTGTTTTGTATCTCTCCTTAATAAAACCTTCTTGCTTTACTGTCTTCTTGGATGTTCTGTTTTTCCTTGTAGAGGTCTTTGGTATTCTGAATCTTTCTAAGTTTCTATTAAGAAAAGGTCCATAGGCCTCACCAGATTGCCCAATGGGTCCAAGACACAAAAAAGTTAAGAATCATTGTGTGTGCATATATACACACACACACACACACACATACAACATACATACATACATACATACATACATGTATATATATGCGTGCATGTGTGTATATAAAACATTTATGTACATACATATATGTATGCACAAAACATATATACACATATACACATGCATGCATGTGTATGCATGTGTATATACACACATACATATATGCATATACATATAAAATTTTATAATATCCTCTCTCAGCCATTCATAAATCTTAATTGTTTAAGTAGCCCCTTCCATGCCCATTATTTTGGCTAGTCTTCTTAAGTCGTGGGATCATAGACTTGGAGTTGGAAAGTCCCCCTGAGGTCACCTAGTCCAATTCCATCATTTTGCAAATGAGGAAACTAAGGCTGTCAGAGGTTTGGGGCCTTGCCTAAACTCGCACTAGATTCTTTACACCTTTCTTGATGGACAGACATTTGGTACTCTTGGTATGCAGGTTTTACCAAGTCTTAGAGAGTATCCTATGCTGCTGTTTTAACTATCTAAGACTCAAGAACTTCATTTATAGCTCTGAATTTCTCACAAGCTGTCTTAGCAATGTCCTACCCATAATCACAATGCTACTTTCTAGGACCTAAGTACCTTAGGTGGCTACTTAAGAAGCTCTAGGCAAAGGGATTTGGGAAAGACAACTTTCCAAAGTTGTCTACCTGAAACTGTTTGGGGAAGACTCATGATAGAATTCCACGTGACTTCAATTTTTTTTTTTAAACACTGGCTTTGGTTCTATTCATTTCTTGTCTATTTTAATCCTCATCCCAGTAGGACAGTCATGTAGAGTGTTATGGGCATGTGGTTTTTACCTAAATAGAACTACACCTAAGAATAGAAGGAGAGTGGAATGAAAATTTGCAAATAAAACCAAAATTATGATGGTACCTAAATTAATTTAAAGATTTATTGTTTTAACCAGTCATACCACTAAAGGGTTACTTCATAGAACGAGTCAAATAATAATACATTTTTTTAAAAAAGGTCTAGAATTTCAGGAAAAAATAATGAAAAAAGAAAGAAGACTAATATTTCCAGATATCAGCTTATTACAAAACACTAATCATCAAAACTATTTGGTGCTGGTTAAAACACAGAAAACAAATGTAATAGATTATATAAGCATGCATCAAAAGCCATTTAACTCAGTAATCCAATGTCTGATTAACCCAAGAATGCAAACTGCTTGGGACAGGACTCCCTATACAAGAAAGACTACTAGGAAAACTGGAAAGCAATTTGGCAGAAAATGGATTTAGATTGATATCTTACACTACGTACCACATTGTAAATTCTAAACTGACGTACAACCTAAATTTATAATGTAACTTAAGA